AAATGGGGAGAATCTATTTAAGATCAAAATCATTAATTTAATTATCTTGAATACTACTTTTCATTGCTTTATTCAACAAACCAATCCTTATTAGATTCATATATTAAGATAGAATGAAATGCTAGAACAGCCAAACATTTCCTTTAGTTGTTGTACAAAAATTGCGTTAGAATTGATATAAAAATAAAGAAATTTATCTGGAAAAATTTTTTAATATTAAGTATTTATATAGGAGTAATAGATTGTAATTAATAAACTAAATGATGTATTAATTAACAATATTAAATTATATGTTAAAAATCAAAGTGGCTTTTAAAGGATAGAGCCTTCAACAAAAATGGCAGGTTTTTTATTAAATAATAGAAAAACTGAGGGAGTCATAAAGAATGATTTTATATTTTAGCCCAATCTGTTGTTAATTATTGATATTCTTTACACTCATAAAATGAATTTTTTTTCAGCTCCTTCTACTGCAATTACTTAATCATTATTAGAAAAAGCTAATGCAAATGTTTAAAATGGCAATTTCGAAACTACTTTTAAATCTGAAAAAGCATCTAATTGACTAAATTAAAAGCTTTAGACCCACTTGCTAATAACTTAGTTTTATAAGAAATTTAAATAAAGATCATATTTGATTCTAATTGTAATTAAGAATTTTAAGACTTAGAATTTATTTTTAATGCTTCTCTTTTCCATATTATATTTAAAAAACTTTTAGTTTATACTGCAATATTTTATCCATTGTGAGACAGTTTTATTGAATAATAATCATAATTTATTATGGGAATCAACCTCTCCATAAGAGTTCATTGCATTTTAATATTTAAATTGATCATGTTGTTATGCTTATCAGAATATTTAATTCTTTAGAGCATAAATCACTTGATTATTATTTAGAAATTAAATTTTCTTCATATTGCCGTCGCCATTGAGTTACCAATCTCTAATCGTAACGTCTTAGATCTCTTATATTAACTTTTTTTCTATCTTTTGAGCAAAATAGATTTAATGACCAATTAAAGAGTTTTTCTATTGATTAATTTATTCCAGGTAGCGTTTTCAATTATTGAACAGCTGAAATTTCATGATTCGATTGAAAAACTATTGAAAGAAGCATTGTTTAAATTAGTAATAAAAATTTAAGGTTATTTAACTTTGTATTCGATAAACATATATTTTTCAAGTCTGTATCATTTAAATTTTCTTCAAAAGACCTCAAAAGATACAGATAAATAAAGGGAATATTTGTTTATTTTTAGTCTTAGATCGATAAGAAGGTTTTCTGAATTGACTGATTTTAAAAAGAATTTGAGCAATACTTAATAAAATTGAAATTTTTATTAATTTGCCCAATCCACAATATATTGTGTTAGATGCTGGTCTAATCACGTTTTATTTTTTTTCTTTTAGATAATCATGTAATTTGAAGTAGTTTATTCTTAACATTAGAAATCGAATTCAATTTTGGCTTTAATAATTCTATTGAACCTGAATCGTTTTCGTAAGATATATTAAAGTAATTAATAATATATACTTTCTTTGTAATTTAAATTATTCTGAATTGAATAATTTTCATCAAAGTAGCAATCTTCCCAAAAACTTTAATTTTACCATTAGTCAAAACTTTTAGAAAATTATTATTTACTTCTTTACTTATAATTCGCTTAAGTAAGCTAATTTATTGTCATATCAAGAGCTAAATATTAAGTAAAATCGTATCAGTTTTTTAAAGTGGTTTCATAATTAAAGGTTCAATACTCTTCTTAAAAATAGTTAATGCATTTTATGATCAATAGAAAAGTTTTCAAAAAAATATTTGTTCTCTTGTTAATTTTCTAAGAATTAATATCATTTTAAATAGTTTAATTCTACATCAATTGCTATTTAAATTTATCAAGCCAGAAGCTTACTCCTAGCTCTCTGTTTATAATTCTTTCTTAATAGTAACTTTCTCTCACATATTTAAACTCTCAAATTATTAAGGACATTTTAGAGTACAAATAAACATTTAATTTCATCATAAAAGGAAATAGCCATAACATGATTGACTTTCACATTTTTAATTCATTTTTGAAATTTTGATTAACTCAATAATTCTAGGAATTTCTTTTTCAATGACATCATCTAATCTGTTCAAATATGATGAAAAAACTCAATAATATACCGTTTTACATCTACATCTTGATGATTGAATAAAAAACCTTAATTTTATTTTAATAAATAATTTTATTAACATATTCCTGCAAAGAACTTCTTATTAACTTGATTTCATGAACAGATATTGTTTAACCTTTTAATTATTTCAAAAATTAATAGAATCTTATGATAGCTTTGTTAAAACTCATTTCACAATATTATCTTCTTTATTCAGAGCTTTTATTTTATGTTAATGGTAATATTTCAACTTCCTTTAAGCTTTCTTAATTTTTCCTTTAAAAAAAAGTTTGTCCAAATCTATTTCAATAAAGATTAGCAAAGCCTAAAATTATAGGTTCATGAAGAAATGATAGCACCTTAATAAAATTAAATATATGATTTTTCAACAAAAAACTCTTTATCAGAATTATGACTCTTCTCTAATAGTAAAAATGAACTTTCAGCTATGATCTAAATGGTTCTTGTATAATCAAAAGAAAGATCCCCAGATAAAGGTTTTAAAAGATTTTCGTTGAAAACTGTTTGGTTTGATTCAGCTATCTTAGTTAAGCAGTTGGTCAATTCAATCTTTAGATCAGAATAAATTTCAGTGAAATTTTAATTAAATGAATCTTGAATTAATTCAGATGGTTTTTTTCAAAATAAACTTAAGCCCTTTTAACTAATTGATATATTGAGTTTTTTAACTTTATCTAAAGGAATTTTTGTTGTTCCACGTCCTGCTCCTCTTAATCTAGGAATAATTTCAAGCAAAAATTAGTTTTTTTACTTAAATATTACAAAATTAGCACATTCACCAATATATAAAAACAGATAATCTATTTTGATGGTTTATAAATTAAAAATTCTTTTAAATATTAATTAAATATTAACGCTATTAAAGCATTAATTTAATCTTCATAAAATTCATTATAGCGTTGAAGGAGTTATATTTTTCAATCAAAATCTTTAGAAAATATTTTTTTTGTAGACCTTTAATGTCTTTGAGTAAAGAAATTGAATTTATAACATAACAGAAATTGATGTAATTTTTAGATTGTGATATTTGTTTTATTTATTCTTAATCCTTTTGTTTTCTAATAAAGAATTCTTTTGTATCTTAATTCCATGTTGCTATCAATTTAGAATTATCACTGACTGTACAAATTTATTTGGCATCACTTAGTTTTAGTGACCATTCAATATTGAATCATTTATTCTTTAAACATCTTATTAAATTAAGATTTTATATCGAAATTCATTTACTACTATAAACTAATAAATTTTAAGAGCCACTAAAGCAAATACTTGAAAATATTTGTTTTATTTTCTAAATTACTATATTAAAACTTCCATTCTTTATCTTTGGATCATAATTTTAAGGCTTTTCCTCAGCCAGCTGAAAAATAATTTGCACCATTATTTATGTCGTGCAATTTAACATTCCATTATTTCCTCTGAACTTTTAATTAACTCTCCAATCCTTAAATTTTTTAGACCCTGACCAAATAAAAATAGTTTTATCTTTGCTCCCTGATAAAAATTCTTCTGATTTTTCATAAATCAAAAATAATCTTCTTAGTTTTTTATGTTCATGCAATACTTCTAATAGTTTAATTTTTCAGATATCAATTCAAATACTTGTATTTTTACATCAGAGCATCCATCAATTAATGTTAATTAGTTAGGACTAAATAAAATAGAATTGATATTTAGATCTAACATTGGATCTTATTCTATAAAATCATAAATGATTGGTTTTTTAGTTAGAATTTAAATCTGCATTCTGAAATAAATCTTTCTTGATTCCACAATTTGATACTTTTAATTCTTCTTCCCTTTTTTAAAAATTTTTAAGATCAAGAATATATAAATATTTAAATTAGATCTATTTTTTAATTACATTATAACCTTGAATTTATTCTGATGAAGAAAACTTATGAGATGAAACATTATTTCTCAATTTTTTTAGGAAATTGTTCATCAATTTACTTTTATTTTTTTTTCATTATTGAGCAAATCCTTCGCTTAGTATTACAAACATTTAAACTATTCTCTTAGTTGAGAATCAAAGTATATATGTGTTAGCATACTTAACTTAAACTTTAAATAGACGATAAAATTTGCAAGAATTTAGCAGCTTATAAATTGTTACAAGATAAATTATTATGAAAGAATTTAATGTCAAGTAGAAACAAAAAAGATTCAAACTCATTTCCTAATATAAAGTGCGTGTAGAAATTTAAATATTTCATTAAATTTTAATAATTCACCGTCTTCAAGCAAATTCAGTTTGTGGAGTTCATCTTATGAGACTCATGATCTAATGATGAGTTAGACTTTTCTGCTGGCGTTTGTTGAAAATACTTTACTCTTGAGAGTCATTATAAGCATATGAAAAAAGAAGGAATGTCAATCTTGTAATCCTGATGTCAAGATTTGGATATCTGTTATAGGTGCATCTTTCGTATGCTGCCGGATTTCTGATGTGTGAGTTCAGCATAGGGTGAGACATTATTTCTTTCTCTATTTAGTTCAAAAATGTGAACGCGATTTTCTAAAATGAACATTTTACTACATTTCCCCTAAGCTTTTTGGATTGCGACTGCTGTTACACACGGTTTTTAAGGTTGCGACTGGTGTTCCAGGGTTGTTTAATAAGGTTGTGATGATGTTAACAAATATGAGTAACAAACCGAAATAGAATTTCTCATAATTATATATTATTTACCCAAGAATTATATTTAATATAAAATAAGAGATTTCGAATATTTATGTAGAAGTTAGCTTTTCATTAAAATCTAAGATAATGTTATTATATAAATTAATCTTTAAGTGCATTTATTATTATTCTTGATATTTATCATTAAAACTAAAAATCCAATACAAATTATTGTAAATATCTAGTTGTGAACATCAGACTTAACCTTCTCGCAGTAAGGATTAATAAGGCAAATTTATTAATCAATCAAATAAGTCAAATTTAGTATATTTTCATTTAACAATTAGATACAGTATATAACTTTAAGTTAGAATAATAGAAATTCAATATTAAAAATAACAATTATGAATTGCACTTTTCATATAAATAGTCCAATATCTTTGATATGTATAGCTCCTCACAAGTGTTAATGCTCAAGAAAACTATGCGTTGAATGCTAATATGACCATGATGTGGATATCAAAAAACATACAATTCCGATTATTTAATTTCATGAAAGGCTTAAAAAGAAATTAAAAGAACTTAAGCTTGATGAGATTTCTGAAATAATTGAAGAGCGAACTGCATTTAAATAAATGCTGTCTCATACTGAGAGTATGATGAAGAATATTTGGGAAGAATTGTCACAATCAATCATTTAGTTATATGATATAATTGAAAAATAAAACAAATCATATCTTGATATCATTAACCAGAATATAAATCTAAATGAAACTTCAAATACTGAGTTAGAGAAATTAGTACAAATATTAGAAGGATAAACATTAGATGTTTGGAATGTTGAGAAAAATTTTTATATGAATTAGTTGAAAAAAATGAAGAATTTATGGGGCTAAGAAATAAAGTCTCTTAATGAAAAGATAAAAGAAATGAATGAAATTTTTTAATAGCAATTTAAATCTTCTATTACTACTATTAAGCCTATTTAAGAAGAAAATGAAGTTATAAAAGAAGATCTTTTTGAAATGCTAACCTAAATTCAGAATATTGATGAATCTATATATAACAATATTCTTGAAATACTTAGAAGAGAGAAAGCTTCAGATATCCTAGAATTTCTTTCAAAGTAAAGCAATCTTTATGAATTATTAATCAATGAGCAAATTAATACAAGCGACGCAATTGAGATTATAAAGAAAATTACAAAAGTCTTGAGTAATATTTAGGATCATTAATTTAATAAAGATGATTATTCTTCAGGCACATATTATAAGGCAAGATAAGATTTAATAAAAAGAATAGCGAAAAATAAGGGGATCATAGATTTTATCAAATTTTTAGTTCTACTCACAAGCATAGATGAAAAGTTTATTTAAAGTGGATCAAATGGATTAAATTTATTATTAGGTATGAAGATAGATCTCTAAAACCAATCATTAGAGAATATAAGGATTAAGAATACTTCTTTGATTGGAGGGCACTTTGTGAAATGCAACTTAAGTGGATCAGAGTTTGATAATGTAGATATAAGTGGATTGAATTTGAATGGAGCTTAGCTATTCAATTGTAAATGGAAGAATTTGAAAATTCATGAATTGAATAAATTGGAAGGTCATAGTGATATTGTTTGGTAGGTCTGTATCTCTAAGTAAGGTAATAAAATAGCTTCTGGTAGTAGTGATAATACTATACGCCTATGGGATGTTAAAACAGGATAATAAAATGCCTAATTAGAGGGTCATGATGATGCTGTGATATCAGTTTGTTTCTCTCCTGATGGAAACACATTAGCCTCTGGTAGTAATGATATGTCTATCCGCCTATGGGATGTCATAACAGGAGAATAAAAAGCAAAATTAGATGGACATTAATCCGCTGTCTTATTTGTTTTTTTCTCTCCTGATGGAAATACATTAGCCTCTGGTAGTAGAGATAACTCTATCGGTTTATGGGATGTTAAAACAAGATAATAAAAGGTTTAATTAGATGGCCACACTAGTTATGTATACTCAGTCTGTTTCTCTCCTGATGGAATGACATTAGCATCTGGTAGTAATGATAACTCTATCCGTATATGGGATGTCATAACATAAGAATAAAAGATCAAATTAGATAGTCATACGGGTTATGTATACTCAGTCTGTTTCTCTCCTGATGGAAGTACATTAGCATCTGGTAGTTATGATAACTCTATCCGTTTATGGGATGTTAAATCAGGATAACAAAGGGTCTAATTAGATGGTCATACTAGTTATATCTAATCAGTTTGTTTCTCTCCTGATGGAAATACATTAGCTTCTGGTAGTAGTGATAACTCTATACGTCTATGGGATGTTAAAACAGGATAATAAATTGCCTAATTAGATTATCATTCTAAAGATGTCAACTCAGTCTGTTTCTCTCCTGATGGTAATACATTAGCTTCAGGTAGTTATGATAATTCTATCCGACTATGGGATTTTAAATCAGAATAATAACAGGTCTAATTAGATGGTCATATTAATGATGTTAACTCAGTCTGTTTCTCTCCTGATGGAATGACGTTAGCATCTGGTAGTAATGATAACTCTATCCGTATATGGGATGTTAAAACAGGATAATAAAAGGTCTAATTAGATGGTCATACTAATGATATCAACTCAGTCTGTTTTTCTCCTGATGGAAAAACATTAGCTTCTGGTAGTAATGATAATTCTATTCGTATATGGGATATCATAACAAGATAATAAATAGCCAAATTAGATGGTCATTGTGATTATGTTAGATCAGTCTGTTTCTCTCCAGATGGAAATACATTAGTTTCGGGTAGTTATGATAAATCTATCCGTGTATGGGATGTCATCACAGGATAATAAAAGGTCTAATTAAATGGTCATACAAATGATGTCAACTCTGTTTGTTTCTCTCCTAATGGAGATACATTAGCTTCTGGTAGTAATGATAACTCTATCCGTCTATGGGATGTCATAACAGGATAATAAATTGCAAAATTAGATGGTCATATTAGTTATATCTAATCAGTATGTTTTTCTCCAGATGGAAATACATTAGCATCTGGTAGTAGAGATAATTCTATCCGCATATGGGATGTTAAAACAAGACAATAAAAAGTTTAATTAGATGGTCATACTAATGATGTCAACTCAGTCTGTTTCTCTCCTGATGGAGATACATTAGCTTCTGGTAGCAATGATAACTCTATCCGTCTATGGGATGTCATAACAGGAGAATAAATAGCTAAATTTGATGGTCATATTAATTATATTAAATCAATCTGTTTTTCTCCAGATGGAAATACATTAGCATCTTGTAGTAGAGATAGCTCTATCCGTCTATGGATTGTTAAAACAGGAACAGAAATTCAACCCTTATATTGTAATTATAATGAAATCCTTAAAAAATGGAAGCCTCCAATAATCTTAAACAAACTACCCAATAGTGGTATTAATTTGTTATTTTATTTAGTTAATCCTAATAATACAATTCTCGTTATATCTATAGATCCATTTTTATTATCAAATGGAGCTTTAATCTTTTAAGGACAATTTTTAACTACTTGGGGAGAAGATTTACAAAGATTTTTTGAATCAAGAGGAAGTTGTATTATGGACAATTTAAATTGCATTAATTATAAGTGAAATTATGTCTAATAAGATTTTGGAATTAAATCTTTATTAATTATTTATGAATTTATAAATTAATAGAAACTGATGAATTCTTAACAGTTACTACTGTGTTTTTTTTTCAAATTCTTATGGCTTCTTTACTTAATTATTATAAAACTCTATTATCAGTTTAGTGTCTGGAATGATTATTAATTAATCAAATTTATTGTTATTAAGATATTAATATCAATGATACTATATCAAATAAATAATTAAATACTCTACAAATATTTTAATTGAATGCAATAAGTGTAGTGAAGAGACAATTAAAAAGTTATTAATAAATTTCTTAAATCATCAAAGTTATTATAATGATAGGTTTGCTAAATATTCTATTACAGAAAGATTGGTTATTATTTATCTTAACAATAAATAAAATAAAAAGATAGATAAAGAATTAAAAAAAAAAAAATTAATTATAGATTATTAAACAATTAACCTAATCTATAAAAAGTTATAAAAAAAGTCGTTTGTTCTCAATAATGTTTTGATAACGTTTTATTGTTTGCATAAATAGATGAAAAGTATTTAAAATAAAAGATTTAAAAATTATCATCACTAATTAATCAAGATCATCT